CAGTTGCTGGAGAGCTTTCAAAAATCTTTCCCTAAGCTAAAGTTTCCGCCTTTACCAGAGAGAGGAGACTTTGACCTCAGGGAAGTTCTGGAATCTCCCTATTTCTTCAACTAGTCTGAACCTCATGCTTCTCTTGGATATTTTATTCGACAATGATACCATCCACAGAAAAATGTGATGAAAGTTGTTTCTTTCACTCGTGGGCATGAGATTGCAAAGGCGACTGGCCCCTTGCACTAAACTGGGAGAATTACAAGAATTCCAGTTGTGGCTGCTCGTATTGTCGTTTGGATACTGTATATATGAGAAGACAAGATTTTACCAAACCAGGGTTCTTCCCAAAAAGTTTTGCCCTGCACTTGATTGAGCTGTGTACTCTTTATTGGCTCATCGAAAAGGTAATAAGGAAAATAAGATGATGCAACAGGCAAGTATTCATCAATCGGAAGCTGTTTTTTTTACATTCTATGTAAAGTAGGAAATTAAAGCTTCAGCAAGGGGTAGATCCAGTGATTTGAACAGGATCAAGATTGAAGCTTCAGGTGCCATAGAAAGCCCCCAATTCTTTGGACATGATGAGAGCAGTAGTTGCTAACTCCAAATAAGTTTTACGAAAGGTTGGAAGATTACAGAAGTTGGCTTAGGATTAGTGTTTTTATGCCCTTTGATTGCATTTTATGTAACAATTATTTTGTATGATTGGGTATCAATAGCATTTTTTACATTGAAGTTGTCATTTAAACAACTAAATTGACTTGTAAGTTAAACGGGTCATAAAGTTCCTATGATTGTATAGAGGAATAATTGCCGTGATATTCCTGTTAGAATACTAGAGAGTTTAATCTCCATTTCATCTTATTGATAACACCATGTCACACGCATTTACAGTCGAGCATATATTTCTTGATTGTGACAGGAAATGTCTTCCGCAGATGTATTTGCAGTTGCTGGCTAATATTATGCCGTGGTTGGTAATGTGGAAATTAGGATATAAACAACTCTCTGGACCTTTTTCCTTTTTCTGAGTTATGATACCCTGATTATTCAATACACTTGAAGTCCATACTCTTCTTATGATGTTTTTGGTTGATTTTTTTTTATGGGTGATTCATGTACGGTAAGGTTTCACAGGATAACAATTACTAAGTTATAGTATATTAATGTGTAACAATGACAGTTATTTTGTTTGAAATGATAGGATGATTTGATTGTATATCTAATTAAATTATTAATTTATGTATATTTTATTATATATAATATTAAATAAAAAAATATATAAAAAAATTATTTAATTTGTAATTAAGTTATTAAATTTATAAAATTATTTAAATTATATTTTTTTAATAATTTTTTAAAAAAAAATAAAAAATAAATTTATTATTAAAAATTAAAATTTAATTTTTTAATACTTAAAATAAGAAAATAAATTTAGATTTAAGGATAAAATGAGAATTAATAAATAATTGTGATGGTAAAACGAGAAGAAAAATATTTAATCATTAAAAATCACTAAATTAGTAGTTTGAAAAAAAAAAAAAAAAAAAGACATAATCTACTATTAAAAATCATCCAACGAACTATACTATCTATTTGGAAGTAATCTAAACAAGACAAATCCAGTGAATTGTCGTACAGTACATTATGTTTTATTATCTAAACATATCATTAAACATATGTTTTGATAAATTTTAAGGTGATTCATTAATATATGGTGTTGTATGATAATGAGTATGGTAGTGGTAAACTTCTATCATGCTTAAGTATATTATATGTTAATATATAATAATAATAATTATTTTTATTTAAATTAATAAAATAATGTATTTATATATTTAATTAAATTATATTTTTTTATAAAGTTATATTTTTTTTATATGTAATAATAAATTAAAGAAATTTAATTTATAATTTAATCATTTAACTTTTAAAATTATTTAAATTATAATTTTTTTAAAAATAAAAAAATTTTAAAAAAATAAAAATTTAATTTTTTAATGATAAATATAAAAAAATTATTTTAAAATATACTTTTTTATTTATAATTATAAATTAAAAAATTAAATTAATTATTACATAACATTTATTATTATTATTATTATTTCTATGAATTACTACAATTCAATATACATATAGGAAGATTGAAATAATTAAAAGAAAACAAATAATATACGCATCTCATTTTCTGATATTAGGGTTTTTACTTCTAATTTTTTTTAATTTTTTATAATTATGTACAAAAATATTAATTTGTAATTTATTTTCTAAATATCTTTTATTTTTTAATTTTAATTTATTCAGTCTTAAAGTTTTTGCTTTAAATTATAAGCACAAGTATGTATAAATAGTTTTTAAAGATAAGCAGTATTATGTAAAGTGAGAAATTGTGAATATTAACATTTAATTATTTGAATTGGAAATAATGAAAGTTAAGAATTGGAAATTAATATAATATATATATATATATATTTTTTTTTGGAAAATGGAAAGGAGGGAAAGACAAAAAACGGTGGGGAGAGAAACTCTTGGGGCTAGGGGAAGCAGGCATGTGGATGAGTGGGGGGACACACCGAACTCCGAACAATTAAAACCCTCTTGAAATAATTGAGCTTTTGTGACAGAAAAAATTAAAAGAGAAAAAAAAGAAACCCCATAGCTCTCTTCTCCCCCTTCCCTCCCTGTCTATATTTTTTATATACAGTCCCTGCATTTCTTCTTCATTGTAACTGGGTGGATTGAAAGGGAAGGAGACCTCAAAACCCATAAATTTTCTGACGAAAAGTTCAGACTTTTGACGGTATTCTTCTTCAATATGTATGTTTTCTCATCAAAATTTTGGCTTTGCCACTGATTGTTCCAGAGTTGTCAATATGGTTCATAGCTCTGCAACTAAGAAAAACGAGGAATGGCTGGAGAAACTCGAACAAGGAAGCTATGATGGAAAGCCGCGGGTGTGATGGAGAAGAAAGTCTTGGTTTTCACCAGCCAGCAGCGTCGAATCTGGCAGAGGCTGGAGGGGCGGGGCCGAGCCTGGAGGAGGAGAGACGCGGCTTGGAGGAAAAAAACCGTGAAGATGAGAAGAAAAGCTTTGTTTCTTTTATGGGATATTTTA